ACATTTTTTGCAAGGGGGCAGTGAGAACAAAATAAAGTAGGTTAAATTATAGAAAAAAACCCCAAACTAGCCTCTCTAGTTCTGTTTGTGTAATTCTGTCATTTAGACACTCAAAGGAGTAGTTTCTATATGCTGCAGAACTTTAGCAAAGTAAATGTAGAGACGGGGATTGTTCTGGACTGACACTGAAAGGTTTAAGAGCCAAATGTGACTTTGAACATGTAAATCTGTTTAAGAGAAACACATATTTTCACAGAGGCTCTGTGCTAATTATATGATTTTTTGGATATGCTACATATAAATGTTAGAAAGAAACTCTACCACAGTACATTCACATTAAAAAGAGGATGACTGTGGTTCCAGTCTCTGCTCTCCTTAGAGCTTACCTGTTTTACATAACAGCAATTTTAATACAACGGGCATGGTATATTTTTCAAAGTTATGCTTTCTGCCTCTAATGGCTCTTTAGATTTTCCATGCAAAGTAGAACAGCTTTGAAGTTATACAGTAATGGCCTCTCCCCCTGACTACTTTCACCTGATGGTTAGGTTATGTTTTGAGAGAGGTGAATTTCAATCCCCAAAGGTTAAGAAAGAATGTGAATGTGGCTTTCCCATGCTCCAAGTAAGTAATTTATCCTAAGTGTTTTAACCCTTTTACTAAGATAAAGCACAACGAAAACAAATTTGCACATTATTCCTCACAGTATTTCTAGGAAAGGAAACTTAGAATTGCTAAAGAGATGCCTAAGCCCAGGTCTAGTAATGATTTCTAAACTATATTCAACTTTTAGTTATGCAGAACACTGTTTATAGATATTAGCAATACATATTTTTTGAATCAGATCCCACAGATGAGATATGCAAAGAAATGGCTAAATTATAGGTTGTAATCAATTTCTGGCATGAAATGGATATTTAAACTGCACAGGACTGTAAAGATTGAGGTACCCTAATGCATGCCCAAAAGGAGATCTTGCATAATGTGGTGAAATTCTCTGCTGCAAGGTGCTGCAGTTTAGTTTATAACCTAGTAGTAGCATGAGTATCTTATGTTATAAACTAAACTGACAGTGAGAATATGTACGTTCAGTACAAAGGAACAGAGAATAGTAGAGAATTATACAAATATGAATTACAGAAATCTCTTGAGGAAAAGAAACATAAGAACAAAGCACATTCATAAATCACAGTTAGCTTCCACATACAAATCAGAAAAAGCAGACAAAGAATTCCATTTACTACAAGGTTATATATGCGGTATTTTTTAAAATCTGGAAGCCAAGCAATTTGCTGAGAGTCACCTGAGATATTCTGAGCATAAGCAAATTCTAGTGATATTGATGAGAGCTGTGAGAGAGCAGCACCTTTATAGACAAGATGAGACTACTTTGTGAGCTTCCTAGGGATCAGATAGCTGAGCTGCAAAAGCTTAACGAAAGCCAGACTATACCTTACTAGCCCATACGCACCAGTCTTTGTCTAGTCCAGTTTTATGGTATCTCACATTAAATAGTGACCTTGCAATCTGTTCTGTGTAACTGGGTAGTCACAGGTAGTGACAAGTTTAATTGCTGATGCAACTAACATTCCGTATGAGTGCAAGAGTACACCTCTGAATCAGGATTCAGTAACAAAATTAATTGTTTCATTATGACATGGTGTGCCATACCAGGCTTCTGGTTGTTGTTCTTGCTGTTTGTAAAATAGTCGTTACTATTTGAGTGACTGGCTGTGTGAACTATGCAGAATAGGCTATTCATTCCTGTTTTCTCTCTGTGTTTTGCTAAAGTTTCATGATGTCATTGTAGGTAATCTTTGTCAAAAGGAAAAGTTAAATCTAAATATAGTAGACAAATTACTGTAGCTGCTGTTCAGAACTCAACTATAATAAGAAACTATATGCCTCCTCAACTTGGTTTAGCAGTGAATTCCAATGAAAAAGATGAGTTGTGGTTCTGGGGCAGCAAGTCTGGTCTACAGTTAACTATCATACTGAGAAACATCTTCATTACACATCTGAGAGAAATTTGGGCTTAGAATTCCATATCCTGAGTAGCGGTATATAAGAAAATAGTCTTGACCCTGACTTGCTGGATGGGCACACGAGGGTGTTAAAGACCATGTAAAGAACTACTCAGGGACTTTCTTACTGATTTATATCAACTTCAAACCATCTCCTCAGCAGGTGAAGAGCATGACAAAAATCTGTCATTTTACCGAGACAGTAAAATGCATTGGTCCTTCCTGAATATCGGAATAGGCTATTTTAGGTAATGAGAAGTAATTAATATCACTCCATTGATAGAAATGGACCTAAACTGGCCCCAAAGTGGGAGCATAATCATTAGCTAGTGCACTCCCCAAGTTCTGAGGATACACATTGACTCCAGATCTCCCTGTCTCCAACCTGAGATGAAAACACATTGAGATAATCCTCCTTCTATAGCAATCCTCCTTCTATAGGAATGAGATTTAATAAGTAATATAAATAACAACCAGGATTACACTTTTCAATTGCGTGTTGAGATGACCACAATGATTTTACTACCCCTACATTCTAAATACGTTCAGTACTAAGCATCATCCACAGACCATATGCTACATCTGTTCTGCCTACTATTAACCCCATCACCTCAGTACAATAACTCCCAATTCATGCTTCAATGATCCAGAGCAGAATTTGACCCATGAGAATATTGCAGATAAAAAGGGCTAAGATTCACCTTAGCACTTATATTTTTAGGAACCGCTCATTCTCCACAAAAGGTCAAGCTATCTTGCAGTAAAGAGAAAAACAAGCTACCTTATGACTTCTACAGTCAGCTCAAAGCAGGGCATACAAGCAAAACAGAATAGCAACTTGAATGAAAGCAGTAGCCCAGGCTCTGTCAGTCAGTCTGTTTATAGAGTGGGGTGGTTATCATGAATACTGCAAGTGGACGTGGATAACCCTCTTTCTGTTTCTGTGACACATCTGTAGAAAAAACTTTTTTTTCTTTTTTTTTTTCAAATAAGGTATTGTTCTCTCCACTTTTACTTAGACTAAAATCATCTGTGAAGAATTTATCTTTCCCT